GATGAGAGAGATGAGAGAGATGAGAGAGATGAGAGAGATGAGAGAGAGAGAGACAGTGAGACAGTGAGACAGTGAGACAGCGAGACAGTGAGCGAGTGCGGCCGCAAGATACGCAACGCTAACCGCATGCCAAAGAGCGACGAGAGGACGGAGTCGAACTTGCGAAGAGGGAGGAGGGAGGGAGGGAGGGAGGGAAGGTGGGAGGAAGACAAGGAGGAGGAGAGGGGAGAGGGGAGGAGGGGAGAGGGGCGGAGGGGGGGGGGGGGGGGGGGGGGGGGGGGGTCTTCGACCTGAAAAATCAGGGGTTAGGATTTGCACCCGGTCGAAAGAAACCTTGCTATCGCAAGAGTAACTCCAGCTAGCTTCGCTAGCTTTCGTGAAAAGCACAAAAACCTACAAAAAAAAAACACGTCCGACCAAATCCGAAGAGCTACGCGCCTGGAGCCCAGGGGATCTTATTGGAGCGACTGGGGCGATCGGTGCTTTTCTCCACGAGGTTTGCAAAATTCCGATGCCTCTCGAGTTGAAAAATTGCCTTCCTTAGAGCAGCTGAGATGAGAGGTGGGTAACTGGGAGATGACTTGAACACTTGGTTCTGAGATGCATTCCAGCGCCCTCTGGCTTCAAAAACCCGAGTGCTAATGCTGCAGCTCTTGTGTGCGCTTTGGGGAGGCAGTCCGAGATGGAAGATCCCTATAGGCCCTGGTACCCCAAGAAACATCTGGAACATTCTCAAATGGACCCGGAAGAGGCTGAATACAAGAGTTGAAAAGTATGAACTCCAGTGTTAATGCTTTAGCTTTTACATCTGTTCAACCTGTAACTCCATTTCAATCGGACCCTCACTGGCAAGGTGTTGAGGAACTCCCTCTAGCTCATCGGCTCCCTGTTTAATGGGGAATATGGATATTCTTAGCTCCTTCCTGAGCGTCTGCTAGCTGAAATCTAACCTTGCCCAGGAACATCCTCCAAGAATTTGATATCGAACAGAACATTGACATGGAATGAAGGCCCCATCTTCACCCGCACCCATGATATCCCATGATGTTCTTTTGGAAGGTGTACGGTGTAGAGTGTGGATCCACACCATGACCATCACAGCCATGAGTAAAGTCGCTGATTTGCATATGTCCTTCTACTCCATAGATGTCCACACAATCGCACAAAACAGCCCAGAACAAAACAGTTTAAATGCAAGAAAACACAAAACATAAACACACACTCAACATCTGCAGGTGTCACATTGGACTCGCAGAAGAGCTCACGCAAATGCGACAGATCTTGATCTGCGGTGCACTCTGGATACCGCGTCCTGGGTCAACTGACGAGGAAACCGGTAAGTGGCCAGCTTGCAGGGCAGCCAGGTACCATTCGGCCCAGGGCCTAAAAAGCAGCCTGTAACACTGAGCTCAGGGTAGCCTGTGGTCTTAGTCTGTGAACACCCAATAGGGGCACGATTTGGGGTGTTGAATAATGGCCCTCATGGATAGAGGTAAAGGATGGTTAAGGGGTGTTCCATCACCACCCAGACGCCGCCCTGGCGATCGTGGCCCTCGGTCTTGGGCCGCTTGATCGTGTTCCCGTGGTGATCGGTGGTGCCCACAGTCGGGTGATCTGGTGATGTTGGACGACCCCTGAGAACTGGCAGTTCTGAAGACCTAGGAATTGGTGGCACCAGGAAGAAAGGTGAACTCGTTCATCGGACATTGTGTACTCCTGATAAACCATCCATGTACAATCGTTTTATCATCATCAGATTTGGACTTTGGATATCTGTCCAAAATCTGTCCTGAAAGCTTGATACAGCCCGGTGTTGCGCGTCTTGATCAAGTCTAGCAACATCCTCAAAGGGCCGTGTAAACGGTTGATTCGTAAAACCATGTAAAGCCTCCAATCTCCAGAATGGTTTTACGTTTTACACCTCCGGTTCTTGTGGCTTTCATCAACATAATGACATCCTCAAAAGGATAGGGACACCCCTTTGCACCCCAGGACCAAGTCCTATCCGGCGACCGCCCCTTTAACCGCACCACCGTCCAAGGTGCAAATGATGAAAGGCTCGGCGCCATTCGAAGCAAAGCCGTTCGAAGCCCTGCGCCGGCGCCGCAAAAGCGATCGGATTGCACGAAAACCATACTCAAGTCCCCTACAAGTTCGATCAGTTTTAAAGGGAAAGTAATAGTAAACTTATACCTAGAAAACCCAAGTATGCAAAAAAATGGTAGTCGTGTTCTTTTCCGGCAAAAAAGGTCATCTCAGCCAAGAAACGTCATTGTTTTGTAAAATTGTAGTTGTTGCGATCAAGCCAGTGGAGGGTATGCAATATTCATTTTTTTCAGCTGCTTCCAATCCTAAATCCAGCCTCTTCTTACACCAAAAGGTAGTTTTTCACCTAAACTTAGGCTGTTTGAGTCGGTTCCGGCGAAAGTGCAAGGATACACCGTACCTTTCGATGGCCCTTAGGATCACCTGCTTGCTTGCAACCTGTCTACTGACACGGCTGATTCTCCCAATAATAAGAACTTTGTTGGCTGCACAATGCCATTTAACTGACACGCAAAATTTGGACAGTTTGACAATTTCCCTCGTCTCAAAAGTGGCGTGAGAAAAATTTGGCGTTTGGGTCGAAGTCATACACAACCTGTAACGCAGTGCGAGCCCCTCTTAAGGAATCGAAACAACTACTACAGCGAGTTAGCTGTGTTTTGCTCCTGCAACTGCTGGAGAAGGGTGTCTTCCTCATCAGGGGGCTGCACAACATCATGTGTCGGGCAGGGCATGCCTTCAAAGCCCTCACCTCACACAGAGTGGCACAGCTCGAAACCCAGGAGTTGATAGGAGCAGGCGTGGCCACATCAAAGGAAACCTGCATGTACCAATGTACCAGAGGCCCCTGAAACAGCAAAACATTCAACATTCAAAACATCCAAGCCGTGTCCGGCAATTTCCGCAATTTTTCCGGTGATTTCCGTCATTTGGACGGTAAGTTCCGTAATTGTTTTTCGGCCACTCCTGCATGGAAGTTTAAGTGTCCACTGAAAAAATCGGAAAACTCAGCGATTGCAGATCGACCTAGGTTCTGTTTTCCCTTGCCCCAAGCGTTTCTCTATTATTCAGCTTTGAATGATCACCGCAACTTAGCCGAATCTTCCAGGCAAGATGGAATCAAGGCATTCCATGACAAGCTGTTGAGATAATTTGACGCATCTCAAGCACAGCATGCTCTCAGTGAAATTGGCTTCTGTCCGGTCGATTTCCAGGGCCTTCGCTTCGAAGTTCTTCGAGGGCAAAGGCAGAGCAGCTTTTCAACGTCTTGAAGTTTTGGCCACTCTAACCATGACTATGAACTAAATAGATAGAGCTCGACCACTTTGAAATGTTTTCGATGGCGATATGGATCTCCAAAGCAATCTTTGCAAAAGGAGGAAGTTGCAATTTGTGCACAGGGGGCATCATGTATCATCTAAATGCCCTCTGGTGATTGCAACATCCTCTGTGTACAGAAAGTAAGTACTGGCGCCCTGTTCATTTGCCCACAACTCCAGACTGGAGATCTCAGACAGAATGGTCCCATGATTTCTCAAACAAACAGCAGTAAGTATGCAAAAGGTAACAAAAGGTAACCAAAATCCAAAAAGGTAATTGTTATACAAAAAAATACATGTTCAACAAAAAACTGTTTTTTCTGAAACTACATTTTTTTTGCATACGTTAGGTTTACTAGGTATATATATATATATGTCTAAGCCCTAAGCAAAACCAGGTTTGGTGAGTGGGTTACCTGGGTCCGAAGCTATCAATAAGATTTGATGCCCCAAGCACCCCGAAAGAATGCAATCGAGGGTCCATTGACATGTCCATACACCTGATAGGGGATACAACAATAGTCATTGACCCTCCCAAAAGGACGTCGTAGGGCGGCTTTCATGTTGGGAAACACGGTACTGGACCATTCATTCAATCTGGGGAGGGGATGGTCACTTTGGGGAGCTGGATGTTCAACAGCTGATGTGCAACACAGTGGTGAACCTGTTTCATGAGCATCTTGGAACCCCCATGAAGCCCCTAAGAACAACACGAACATATCGCTGGATCCACTAGAAGGTATAGCTCTTGGCTCTTGCTGCCCCTGCCCCGGCTTTTTCCTGAGAAGGATCATGGATGAGTTCATGAACCTCTGGGTCCGATAGGGGGAAAACAAGAACGTGTTCTTTTTTCACAACCCCAGCTACTAACGGTGACTAAGTCACGTGTCGGTCTTCAGTCCGGTCTTCAGCTCGTAAGCCAAGCAAGTCACCTTGAAACTGATCTTTCACGTCCCACCGACGGAGGGCGGCGTCCGCGTCCCACCGACGTCGACGTCTGCGCCTGAAAGGAGGCGCCTAAGGAGCGTCCCAGCTCCATGGGATCGTCGATGCAAAGCACTTGCCGCTGGGACCTGATGGAAGTGGAAGAAAATCCACTTCCTCTAGGGCTCCAATCATATCCTCAGAAGGTGGTTAGACCCCCAAAACCCACCCCAACCACCTTCTCAGGAGGTGGTTGGAGCCCTAGGGTTCAGTCAGAGTCACCCAAACGACCAATCACCTCTCGAAGAAGAGTCCACACATGTCCACACCCAGTCTGCGAAGAGTCTGCGAGATTTGGGCGAAAAAGCCTCACAGGAATCAAATGATCGTTGCATGACCCTTGGGGAAGTGGATGGAAGAGGTCGTGAAAGCCAAGGAAATGGGACATGATGGGATGAGGATTGTCGCCTTCACCGTTTTGGACACATCCCTCATCTAACCCAGACACGACCCATGGGACTGCCATATATTATGCCGCCCCATTGACCCCCCAAAGCCATCCCAATGTAGGTAAATATGCCAGTCCAATTAGTCGTGTCTGGGTATGAAGTTGCATGTGATGGATCCAATTCACGGAACCTCAGGACCTGTCGCTTTCGTGGTTTTTTCCCGAAAACCACGGCACCGCGCAGACCTCACTGCGCGCGGGCCGGTCGCAGCACCGGTCGCGCACGGCCGGGACCAGTAAGGGGAAGCCGTTCTTCGATGCCCAAAGCCCAACAAAATGGAAAGAAATCAGGAGTGCCTGAGCCGTGGGGGGTTTTATCAGACTATCTAATATGCCTTTTTGTTCAGTGGTATCAAAGACAAGGAGAAAGACATTTCAATGATCCATAAGAAACCACATGTCGCATCATGTCGCTAGTTCTTTAAATTCTGCACCACTTCGGAAACATTGCGGGATCTTGTAGGACTATGTCGGGAGCCGCCTGCTACCAACTGGCTCGTATCTTTTGGAACATTGATGAGCTTTTGCAGGGTTAAAATTTCAAGCTCGGGTGCCAACTGGATGAATGGTGCTCGTGTTTGGCCCAGTGACATGGCTTGCTGCAGCTCATGTTCTTCTGCTGGAAGCTTGTACTTCCTTGCAGAAAGGCATGCGGCATGCTTGGAAATGCTTGGCGGTCGAGCCCTCAAAAAAATAGATTGGAAACTGAACACATCGCCTTCCCAAACTGGCTTGCAGCAATCCAAAAACAAACAAACAAACAAAAAGAACAAACAAACAAACAACCGAACGAAACAAACAAACGCATATGCAGGGATCATCCAATGGGTGTGTCCTGTCTGGAGGTCCATGTGCGTGTACTGCAGTCTATCCTGTCTGGTGACCGTGGGATGATCCAAGGTTTTTCCACATCGAAACACCCCACAAAAACTGTATGGAACATACGAAACACTATGAAACACTATGACACCCACCATAATCCACGTCCCAGTGGCCGTCAATTTGGGTCAATTTGGGCCCTCAGGCCCGCGGACTGCCTGCCCAGACCCCCCTTCTTCGACTTCAAAATCCAAGTCCGTCCGAGGCTCAAGGCTGGTGGCTCGAAGTCCTCGACCTTCACAGGGCCCAAAGGCGGCGTCTCCGCCACCTCCACGGCCGCGGTTGGGTCGGCCTCCGCCGCGTCGACCGCTGCATCCGCCTCGTCGTCGTCGGGGACGTCCTCGTGGGCCTGGCGCGGGAGCCTTTGAGGGAACAACCGGTGTGATATTCCTTGGTCACCCTTGAATCAACCTCCTCAAACACCTAAACCGTCGCCCGAATTGACGCAAATGCCGTACCCGGTACGCCGTACCCGCCTCCGCCTCCTCTGCCTCCTCTGGGACTTCAGGACCCGCCTCAGCCTGTCGCGTTTTCAAACGAGTTACGTTCGGCCTCGTTGTGTGGCACAGTGGCTCGGGGGATCCCGGCGCAGTCGGAGGCTTTTTTCCGAGGGATTTAATGAATGCCTGGAAGATTCTGGAAGGAAACATCACAAGCACATGCGAACGCAACCTTGCCTTACTTGTCGCCTCTTACTTATCGGGTGCTGGGACACTCCGCTCGAGTGGAATCTTTCGCCGCACCATGGCCCGCAGATGCGGACCTATAGGCTTTCCAAACAGTCAGGGAAGGCTGCTTAGCCGGGTGCCGGATAGTGCTGGATGGATACGTTTTTTCTTCAGAATACCCTTGGAGTACCCGGCAACCGGCTGGATTCTCCCAGGCCTCCTCGCACTCGACCACAAGGGGTACCTTCACTTCAAGCTCCTGCCGACCAAGCAGCCGGTTCCTTCCACGTGATCAGTTCCTTCCAGGTGTTCCAGACAAGCCCAGGCCAGAATCAGAACGCCCTTTCGGGCTTTGTATCTTTGAAGCCAGGAAGTTCCAAGCCAAACCAGAGAGTTGGCAATCCTCTTTATCTTGAGCACACATTATTTGCTACTCCTGGCCCTGGTGGCTGAAACTCATCGTTGGTCGAAACAACAACCAATATCTAAAGAAAGGCAGACAAAATATTTCACTGGGAATCGTTTCACTTGTAGTAACAAATGAAGCTTTTAAATATATCTTTGAAGCTTCTTATGACAATAATAAAGCTTTCTAGTAACTAGAAATGTATCTGATGGCTCCAACGATGTACCTCAGAAGGTAAACAATTGAAGCCTCCAACTCCCATCCCAGCACGGCTTCCACGACCATTTCAGAGAAAACATCTCCCCACAGGGTCAGCAGTCCTTCTTCCTCTGCAGCATCCGTCGGAAGTAGTCCTCAGAGCAGAAAAACACACCTCGGCAATCCGGTTGAGGGTGACTGTTTTGTAACACTAACACACATAACATACCTGAATATCTTCATTTGAAGATGTTTGGAGTGCTGAGTCTAGACCTGAGAACCACATATCAACAGCTGTCAAAGTTCTTTTTCATGGGTCAACCCGTCACCAAACAAATGTCGGTCCTCCTTATGAAGGTGTCCTCTGAAGCGAATGCTGGCCACAGAGGAGTGCGCTTTCAGCGAATAGGCCAAGTCCTCGGTCTCCAGAGGGGTTCGTCGGTGAGACCAGCATCCCATAAGAAGAAACTCTGCTGAATGCCACAGACATGTCCAGTGGTCTGGCAGTGAAGCCTCCAAAACACAATCCCAAAACCTTGCAAAAAAGGACACCAAATTACAGTCTAAATGCTACTAGTACGCCATATAAGTGCCATCGCTACTATAGTAACAAGCAGCTCACTCACACCTGGTCTGTGGCTTCGTTTTTGGTGTTTCTTGGGTGAAAGCCCTAGTCGCTTTTGCGGTGAAAGCATGTGAAAGCAACTTCTCAGTGGATTTCTTGGAGTTGCTTGCCGAATCTTACGTACGCACCCTCAATTTTCGGTGTTTTGGTCCAAACCACTTGGTCACCGATCTCTGAAGTGCACCACGTATTTCTCTGCCAACATCGATTCTGTCTTGAAAGAACATGAAAGAAGGCCATTCTTCCGCTCGGCCAGCGCCGTTCCTTCTTCCGGGTGCGGTCCCACCCCCGCTCGCCAGACGCGGGACGGGATGCCAAGTGGCTCGGAAGTAGCCGGTCAAGAGGCCTCGCAGGGTCGCCTCCTTGGGTCGATTCATCGCCCAGGTCTGCCACTCCGCGCTCTCGCAGGTCAACTCTTTGGAGGGATCCAAAAACCACCTGGCGGCCGGTTCAAACGCCCCCACACTCGGGACCAAACGAAACCCACGCGACGAAACGAAGCGTGAGCAGTGAAAGAAAAACGGACCGGACACTATAAGTGAGTTCAGCCGTGGAACAAACATGCACGGCAGGGTGATGAAGATTCTAGAGTTCCTATATCTCTGTCTTCCATACCTTCATTGTCTTTGAGATTCTCTAATGCAGTCACAAACGAGTGTCTGAAACGCAGCAAGGCATTCTCAAAATGTGGACATCCTAAAACAGGCCCGTGATTGGCTCTGACGTGTTCAGGCGAATCCAGTTTCTATCAGTTTCTTGTCAATGAGGTTACCAAACCCAACATGAGACAAGATCAGAAAGCTCAGCAAAAAGAACAATTGAAAAACAACACATCGAAGGGAAACAACCGGGACAACTATTCTGCGAAGCGGTGAGCCCCATACTGAGAATCAGAAACTAAGTTATGACAGGAGGCACATCATGTATGCCATCGAACATTTCATCTCGCGCAAAGGCTTCCAACTCGTTCTTCTCTTGCAGGATGGGCAAAATGTTCTTGCGCTGTAAAAAATTAATCAGCAGGATGCAGTGAGAATAGGAGGACAAAGTCCTGATCCATTGCGCGGACACAAACATGCCACATGCAAGTCAAAATTAAAGCTCCAGGTTCATTATTTGACCCTTGACATCCTGAATTATCCTTAGGCCCTGTGGGAAATGCATTATATAAGACAGGTCCAAGTCGCACGGGAAAAATGGGCACGCGAATCGACCAGCCCGAGGTCTGGGCGAGGTCAGCGTGTGGGACATGCTGAACGCTCGGTGTTTTCACCTCTTGAAACACCCGATGCTTAGAAGCCCCAAGCTGGAATCTCCCACACCCAACAGGCTATAGTGATGAGCTTAAGTTGCTAAGAATATTTGTTTAACATATGTTAAATTGATTTACTGTACATAGCTCATGCTATATTATAGATCTATAATTTATAGCTATATATAATCATTCAGGAACCTGTTGGAGGGATTTGATCGAGTGGGTGACTAGATGATCTAGATGACCAAAACCACGGCCCCTAAGGCATGATGGGACTCCTGAACTATCGGAAGCCAAGCAGCGCACATAAAGTGCATGGTTTCGGCTCACGTCCCCATGCCACAGAAAAACCCCCGATCAACCACTGACGTTCACCATTCACCCATCGAGTCCTCTTGTCACTGGTTCTTGTCACCCTGTCAGACCGTCTGCGAGATCGTTTGGGCTCCACCAATTGAAAGCTCACCGTCCCTGTAACCAACTCCCCACGGAGTTCCCCCGCACCAACGCACCATCCGGCGCACCACCCAGCACCACGTCCAACCGCCCAGTCCCATTCCCAACCCCTCCGAGGATCCCCTCCAAGGCTTCGTTCACTTGTCGCTGCTTCGCCCAAAACTTCACCAGGCGCCCCAGCTTGGCCACACGGGCGTCTAAGGAAGCATAAGCCTTCAGCAGCCGACTGTTGTACCTTCCAACAAAGCCGGAAGCGCCCATGTGGGAGCAGCGGTTGGGGGCTGAAGTCCAAAATGGTTGCTTGGTCCATCTGTTTCAGGGAAAAAAGAAGGTGGTTGAAGTAGCCTCCTCTACTACTACTTTGAATTATACTTTACTACTACTTTGAATTACTTTTAATTCTAATTACTAATTCTTGTTTCTACTAGCTTCTTGTTCCTAGTAGTAAGGCCCTTGTTCCTAGTAGCGATGCCCTTTGCTCCTAGTAGCGTCCTTGCTCCTAGGAGGGTGGAGGATGGTGGAGGAACCGGTGGTTGAAACAACCTCACCTCGCCTTCGTGTCGTGACCTCCGTCACGACTCGGTCGTGAGGTGACTCCGGTGTTACCCGCGGGGTTCTCCAGTGTTCATCGGCAATCACGTCACAAAAGCACATGATGAATGTATAGCCCATACACTGCATGTATGCCATATAACCATATATGCCTACATTGACCCCCAAAACCACCCCAATGTAGGTAAATATCACATACATGGAGTGTCTGGATAGTATATAAGTAGATCGAAATAGAAGATATCGAAAAGCCTCCAGAAAGCGTGTCAAAGAAAACACATTGTTTTTTTCAACCAGTATACCCACTGAACGTCTAGTAGGTTTGACGGTGTGTGTGTGTGTGTGTCAACCCCTGTGCCAAAGGGTTCACTGCCAACTTCTACC